TTAACTGTAGCTGGACCAGAGGTGGAAGCTAAACTGAAAGCAGGTGAGAAAAAGAGAAGCTGCTACTTACCTTCTCATCTTACTTATCTGACTCTCACTCATGCTTCCTGCATCACTTTCTGTGCAGCAAAAGTGAATCGAGGAGAAATTTATGTGACCCAGTCTGGAAACTTCCCCTGTAAAGCTATTTTACATGTATGTGGAGAAAAGGATCAAGCTCTCATTGAACAACTTGTGTGTGATATCATTGGCTATTGTGAATGCTATAAATACAGTTCAGTGGCAATTCCTGCCATCTGTGCTGGTAAGTATTTTTTTTTGGCATTTCTATTCATTCAGTTTGTTGTGAAACACACACACACACCTAAATGCAAGTGGTGTTTTTTCAGGAGCTGGAGGGTTGAATCCTGCGATTGTAGCAGGAGCCATTCTTCAAGGAATCAAGGCTTCTGCATCATCTATGAACAGCCTCACCAACATCCGTCTCATCCTGATTAAGATCGATGTCTTCTTGGCTTTTAAAGAGAAAGCGATGCAGATGTATTCCTCAGCTGTCATCAACAGAGGTGACAGAAATATTCACAAACTGACATCTTATGTGCAATTGAATTTTAAAACGAATTTGAAAATAAAAACTGATTACAAATTTATTTTACTGAAATTTTTTACTGATTTGTTCTAGTACTTCCAGTTCAAGTACAGCAACAACAGCCTCCTCTTTCTGTGAGTGCATACCTCAGCAGTCTCCAAATCAGCTCTACAATTCAGCAGTCTGTCTTCACGTTCCTGGGTCTTTCCAAAAAAGACGTTGATGATGCCATGGAAAAGCTGAAGCATCAATATCACACACAGTGCTCCAGTAAAACCTTCTTAAAGGAGGAACTGGAACCCCTCGACCAGGATGACATGATGGAGCTGAAGGAGCTGGTGGAGTCTGAGGGTTTATTCATGCAAACTGATCAGTCTGGCTCTCTAACAGTGAGTGGGTTGAAAGACGGGGTCACCCGGGTGATCCAGAAAATGAATCAGTGTCAGTTAATGGGTCTTGCTAATGAGGTGAGAGTCAGGGAGGAGGAGGAATTGTACCTCCGAGTTGTTTGGTGCATCCTGGCACATAACGGTAACTGGGAAAGACTTCCCAGAACAGCCAATCACCAACTGGAAAACAACGAATTAACAGAAGGAATAACAGACGCACAGGGACTCGTATGGGAGGTTAATCTTCAGACAATGATGGCCACACAGCAACTGAGCAGACAGGCGATGAAGCTAAAGCGACTTGAGAATCTGAGAGGTGAGAAGAAAGAAACTAAAAAACCACTTGTAGTAAAGAAGGTTGCAAAAGTCATTGTGAAACATGAAAGCAATAATAAACTGTTCACTTTTAAACAAAAAGTATGAAAATCCTAGATCAGCTGATAAGGTTGGATCATGTTGATTTAACAGGAGTGTTATATTATTGTCAGATGGGCTCCATTGCAAGTTTTGGTTGTATTCATTCATGATACTATTAAAATCTTTTTTCTTTTTACGTGCTTCATTAAAGATTTGCAGTAAATAGCAAAATAAAACTCAACATAGGCTCTAGGTACGGTGTACATTTTAGGACATCGTCAGGTATCAGACAAAAAATTGTCAGGTGTCAGTTGTCAAAAAAAAA